TGGGTGGTTGGCCAGGCCCCCCCGGTCCGGTAGGCAGGGGGGGCTGCCAGCCGCCCCAGGGGGCACGGCGCTACCCCGGCCCCAGCCAAACCGCCGGGATTTCCCTTTGATGGCTCAGCGGGGAAAGCAGGAGCTCATGGCCCTGTCCGGGGGGGGGGTCCATGGGGCAGGGGGCTCCCACAGCCACCAGGCTTGGGGGGGGACGCAGGCAGCCCCTGCCCTCACCTGTTCTCCAGGTCGGGCATGCTGAGGTTCCTGGCAGCGAAGCACATCTTGAGGGGGATCACCTTGCGGTCGCGGGGGCCCTGGTGCTGGGGGGAGCCCGAGTCCTCGCTGCCGCTCAGGCTGGGCGACTGCGGGGCAGCCCCCTCCCACGGCAGGTCCGACACCAGCGAGGGCTTCTTGATGTAGGGGGTCACCTCCCGCATGAACTTCACTGGGGGGGGAGCGGGGAACAGGTCAGGGCTGGGCAGGGGTCCTGCACCCCGACGCCACAGCCCTGCGCCCCGGGGATGCTCTGACCGTCGGGGCGTCTTGTGTCCCCCCCACACGCAGGGGGTCTCGGCCAGCCCTGGGGGGGCTGCAGGGCCTCCCCCAGCGGCACCAGCACAGCCCGTGCCCCAGGGAGCTGAACTCGCCCCCGGCCTTGTGCTGCAGGCAGCAGGCAGAGGACAGGCAGCAGGCAGAGGACAGGCAGCAGGAAAGGGGGCACCCTGCCTTCCCGCCCCGGGGGGTGCGGCAGCCCGAGAGCCCTGGGGACCGGCCCAGAGCGTCCCACCCTGCCCCGAGACAGAGGTGTCCCAAGTAAAGGACGGGTGCCGGCAGCTCATCCCCATTACCGGCAGCCGGCGCGGGCGTAGGAAAGGGAAGGCAGCGCAGCACAATGGGGCCGGGCAGGAGGTCAGGCTGCAGCCCATCCTGACCCGCCCCGGCCACCACGCTGCGAGGACGGCACCGGCCAAGTTTCCAGCGCCGCAGGGGTCGACGGCGGGGCTGACCCCAAGCTGCCGCTCACGCCTGCCAGCAGCCTGCCGGCAGCCTGCCTCCGCTCCCGGCAGGACGAGGAGGAGGAGAAGGGTTGCAGCCAGGACATCCCGGCTCCACACTCCTCTCCAGGCTGGGCAGGAAGGAAGGAGGCACCGGCTCCTGTTCCCCTTGGAGCGTCCCTCGCCAAGCACCACCCAGCCCTGCCAAAGCAGAGCCCCAGCGAGGCGCCAGCACCCCGGAGCCCAGCTCCGGACGGGGCGAGCAGGAGCCAGAGCCGGGGAGCCCAGCTCATCCAGCCCACGGTGCTGCCATGGGCTCACCAGCGCCAGCCGCCACGCTCAAGGAAAGCCAACGCCTTCAAGATGTCAGGGAGCGTCAGCAGAGCCGCCTGCCAGAGCGGGGACGAGGCCGTGCGGGACGGCACGCTCGGCCAGGCTGGAAAGCTGCAAGCGAGCGCTGACAGCAGCCTGGGACGCGCCGCCCACAGCCGGCGCTGGACCCCTGCCCGCCGCGCTCCCCGCCGGACACGGCTCCCCGCCCCGCCCGCCGCCGGCACGCATGCCGCGCGAGGGGCCGGC